GATGTAATAGCTTTCCAGGGATTAATAAGGTATTTTTTAAATTAACAGAGCTAATTTTTATTTCCATAGGTATGCCACCAATGAGATCTGAAACTATTATTGTGAAATTCTGAATAGACATTTAATGACCCTGACTTAATACTCGAATCTCAGGCATGCCGGAGAATGCCAGACCATGCAAATATTCAAGAAAAAAGCATTTCCCTAGAGAACCAAACCCCACTCTGCACAGCGTTTTTCATGTTCAAACTGCTTTTTATCAACACATCTTGGAAATTTGAACAGGATGATGAAATCAGGGTCAGAATAACTTTTTGGTGCAAAGTAAAAAGTCTCTGTGAGAACCGCTCTGCTAAGGCTGGGAAGGAAACATAGCCATTCCTGCCATGTCTACTGTCCTGTTTCCAGGCGAAGAGCTTCACTACAGTGCCATGATACAGATTTGCAGGATATTGAAAAAAATGAACAACAACAAAAAAAACTTAAAAATACACTGATCCAAAATCAAGAGTCCATTTCTCTACTGAAAAAAGCAACCATCAATATACATAAACCAAGAAGCTAAACATCAAAAAGCTATTATATCAAAATATAATAAAGAGCTTGAATGGCAAGCTCTCTAGTCCTGCACTGTCCATGATGGGCAACTGGCCGCATGGGGCTACTGAGCATTTGAAATGCGGCTAGTCCAAACTGAGATATGCTATATTGTATAAAACACACACCAAATTTCAAAACTTGGTGTAAAAAAAAAAAGAATGTAAAACTTCTCAATGATTTTTAAATTTTGGACATACTGGGTTAAATAAAATACTAAAATCACTTTTATCTTTCTTTTTACCTTTTTTAATGTGGCTACTAGAAAATTCAAAATTATGCACGTGGCTTGCATTTTATTTCTATTGGATAGTATAGATTTAGTACATTCCCACCCACCCCCAACGTGGCATCAGAATACTCATAAAGAAAATTGATTTGTGTCTTCTCTGATGATCTTTGCTCTTAGACACCATGAGAACAAGGGCTCACAATCAGTAGACGTACACAGGGCTTTTATAAGCAGGTTGGAAATCTGTACTGGTTTATGCTGTTCCTGTCAGAATTTCACAGATCGAGCTGAAAGATTTTACAACTCTCTGTTCCATGGTCTTGAAAGCCCTGCTTTGCAGGCCACTCCTGTAGACCTGTGACCTCATTCACCCCTCCTCACTTCATCAGTTAGCTGGAATTTCCAGAAGGAATTAGCTGTGAAGGCCTCTGAGCAGCTCTCCTGTGTGATTAGACTGTGAAGTCCCAGAGGCGAGGGGCCCAGTCTTGGTCCCGTTGCTACCCCACCACACCTAGAATTGTTCTTTGCACACAGTGAATGCATCTGATAAATACATGGGTAGAGCTGATGGTTCAGGGAAAAGCAAGTGTTTTTCCTTTTCTTACTTAAATCATGGCAGTTTTATCACATTAGCCGCTGACTTTCAACTGTGCTTCATAATTCATTATTCAAATATCTGACTGAGCGGGGGGCTAGGGACATGAGGGTGAATAAGACAGGCACAGTCCTGTCCTCGCAGGGGAGGACAAACACCAAAGAGCTACAGTAAGCATGTGGGTACCAGCAGGACAAAGCAACCAGGATCTGAGAGGGTCGGTGACAGGGGAACTTACTATAGTCGGGGGTCCAGGATGGCTTCCAAATGACATGTATGTTGGACCTGAGAGAACCGTTTGCCTGGCAAGGTGGAGGGGAAGGGGCAGGCTGACCATGCAGGGAGGGCCCTTTAAACTGGGTTAAAAATTTAAAACTTAATCCCCAAATCAGTGAAAAGTCATTGAAGGGTTTTTGGCAATATGGTATGATCAGATTTGTCTTTTAAAAATATCACTCTGGAGGTGGGCAAGAGCAGATGTGGGGCCTACACAGAGCATATCTAGAGATCTGTGAAAAGTAATCAAATGCTCTGGTCATCATTTCAATAGGAACTTAGTTTTGAGACTATAAAAGATGTAAGGGCTCCACAGGGACAGATCTGAGAGCCAGAATGCATCCGAGGGTATTCATCTAACACCAAATACTCTCAAAGTGCCCTCAAAGCATTAATTTCCACAGCTTCTACTGGCCTGTCCATGTAAATCTGTTACTCTGCATCAGCCTCTCTCCTGACCCCCGCCAGACCTTGCTTATTCAGGAACAGCAGCTGGTGATTCATACTGGTTGACCCAGCTTCTGGGGTCACTGAGAGTACAAGTGGTCAAACCATTTATCAAACAGCATGAGTTTGGGAAGATTCTGCTCTTCTGTGCCTGAGGACTGGGAGTCTCTGGGTGTTGGCTAGATTCCTGTGTCCCCTTCTCAAGGACACTTGCGTTTTGAACAAGTGTACTGGACCTTTCAGGAGCTCTAGTCAATGTCTGCTCTCAGGGCAAGAAATTCATGGAGGAACTAAGTCATATCTATTATAAACCAATAAACACAGATTGCCTAAATTCTGTAGAAAGAGTATGTGAAATTTTGTTTTGTTCTGGACCCTTTGTATGACACATATTTGTATACGTATGTGGCCTGTCCATATATAACTGCTTTTCTGAAACCAATTTGTGATTGCCTTGTGATGGCCTTTAATGATCCTCCTTGGTCACAGATATGTCATTTCTAAAAATTCAGATCTCCCCCAATGACTTTCTCCTGTAATTGTTTTTACTAAAATAAGTCTCACCCCTCAATCTGTTTCCTTTCTGAATTTCTGTCGTATTCACTCTGTAAGTGAAGGCCCCTTTGTACCTAAATGAAGAACCCATTGTTCTCAGAAGCAGGATTGTGCCACGGAAAGTTCCTGGGCTTATGGGGTAGTCAGACCTGCGTCCCAATCCCTGGCTTCATTCCTCCCTAGGTGTGTAACTTTGGGAAAGTTTCTTAAATTCTCTGGCCCTTATCTTCTTCTGCAGAAAATTAGTCTCTCCTACTATACTGGTTTTTCTAGGGTTTCCATAAAAAATTGCCACAAACTGTGTGACTTAAAACAACAGGAATTCACTCTCTCACGGTTCAAGCAGCTTGAAATCAGGGCATCAGCAGGGCTGGCTCTCCGGAGGCTCTCTGGGAGAACCCTTCCTTGCCTCTTCCAGCTCCGGTGCCTCGCGGCTTCCTTGGTTTGTGGCAGTGTCACTCTCATCTTGGCCTCTGTTTTCACATGGCCTTCTTCCCTATGTCTCTCTGAGTTTTCTCTTCTTTAAAGGACACCAGTTGTTGGATTCAGGGCTCACTCTAATTCCAGGATGAGTTCATCTTAAAATCATTAACTAATTCTATCTCAAAAGATGCTATTTCCAAATAAAGCCACATTTTGAGGTTCTGGGTGGCCCTGGGTTTTTGAGGGGCATCCTATCCAACACGCAACACCTACCTACAACCGAGCTCCGTTAGACTCAGGAACAATGCCGGGTCCCCACTAAGAGTTTGTGTTAACAGATTTTTAGTCTCTTCCCTATACTATGAATTGTTCAACTGTGCTTTAGTTTTGCAGTCAGAAAAAAAAAAAGGTTACTCTTAGAGAGGAGAGATAGTGTACATAACTACCAAATACTGAAAATGCATTCGTGCTCAATAGATACTGTATTTTCCCTCCTTTTCCCTATATTTGATCATAGCCGTACAACAGTGAGTTACTAGCACAATTTATCATGTGTAAATCCCAGGAAATCAGAGCACTTCAAAGTTCTATGCAAAGATCAAGATAAAAATAACCTGCGCTAAACAATGACTTCTTATGGTGAGGCAGGGTGAGCGGTTCTCTTCAGAACTGACCCATCACATCCATTTAAATACTAAGGACTAGGTGAACATCCAAGAGATCCTTGCATCTCTGTGGAGTATCAAAGTCGTGAAAAAGGCTCTGGGTACAAATTAGAATTGATTTCTGCTATTCTTTGCCTAATTTGCCAACCACTTGGTCCACTGTCAGTTAAGTGTCTGGTTCCTATGCCTTATCATTTACTTCTATATCATTCTTCTTCACATAATCCCATCTCTGATGTAGTTTAAGACAGAAAAAAAGTTGAGAATGTTATTCCCACATAGTATGTTGAGCTTCAAAACAGCAGCTGTGCTGTCAAACTAAATGTTGAGTGAAGCTGCAACCAGCAGCAGAGGGCAGTAGAGAGCACATACTATACCTGCCTGCTTCCTCTTATTCCGTATCTCTCCTTTCCTTATCTCTGACCCACTAGTGCTCAGTATCCAAACTGGGGCTGACACAGTGCCTGGATCATCTTTCCTAGGACCACCAAAGACATAGGAATCTCAACCTGAAACTCCCAAAGAAACCAGCTTCCAGAGAAAGCCGTTTTCCCAACATTCATGCATTTCACTTACATATGTCCAGCCTTGCTTCAAGCTTCCACACTCTGCAGGTGGGAGCTGTTATACAGGAAGAGTAGTTGGGGGTCTAGAACAGGTGCTTTGCTCTGTTACAACCTGTGCCCATGGAGGTCACCCCAGTTCTACCTGGTTCTCTTTTCAAGGTATAGCTCTATTATCTCTCTTATAACTCCCTCCTCGTACAAGTGGTAACAGGTTAGCAATGCTGATCAGTGATGTGTATGAACAGAAATCCTCTGTATTTAACAAAACCATTCAACTTCCTACTTTTTCACACTTTCAGGGAACCACTGTATTTTACCTTACAGCTCTCCCAGTTTTCTTTCCTACAATTTCTTTCAGTTAATAGCAGCTTACAGCTCCCCTGACGTTATGTGCCACCCATGTTGCCTGCACCATGCAGTTTGTTAAACACACTGCAGTCAGACAAAACACCACAGCAGCCTCTAGTTACTTCAGTGTGAGCCTTGAAAGTGCTCCCTCCCCACAAGAAGTGCTCTACCTGAAGTCACTGAACCTCCTGATTGGCAGACTGAGGAAGAAGAAACACACCAAACTAAAATGTCCCCCAAAGAGAAACTCAAAATTACCCGGAGGGATCCCCTGAAGGTATAAAATGACCCCTTACCTGGATTGGGTTGAAGGTACTCAATGGTTTTAGTCATTATTTCCATCACAGCCCTGCTGGTGACATCCACTTTCTGAAATGAGAAAATAAATACTCGAAATGATATAAATTATTAGCGTCAAAAATTTCATTTTTGCTTGAGTATATACAAAAAAATTCTTTTTTGCTTGAATATGTCCCTGGCGGGACAACAGAGCAACAAGCAGGCCTGCGGTGGACAGTGAGGGCTCCCGGACCTGCCAGAGGTAACTCTGCCTCTGCGTTCAGCTGTGCTCCACCAAGATCTGGAAAGCCTACTCATCCAAAGAGGAACCTGGTAACTTCCTAAAACGTGTTTCAAAATATACTTCATTAGCTTCTAGTAAAATAAGGTGGCAGTGGCTTCCTCTCCAAGTGGCCTGAGGTGGTCTCTGAAAATGGTTCACTATTCAAGTGACTCAGAAAACCCCATAAAATCATGCCATTCCATCATTACAATGCTAGAGCTGGCTGGTGTGCCTATACCAAAGAATGGGGCTAGACAAGAGGGTCCATGACCCAAAAAGTATGAATTTGTGATGCACATGCTTGAAAATGCAGAGATTAAATGTAAATTAAAAAAAATAAGGTGGAGATAATGAATTATACTTTGCCCCAGAGGCATTTACTGGATGTCTATAGTGGGCCAGGCATGTTGGCAGGTTTCACTGCCCCAAAGAAAAGAAAAATGCAACATCGACTCTGTTTATTCAAGTAAGAGTGGAAAAGTTTTTATTTAACTTCCGAGAACATCCCAAGTACATAAAAATTTTGAGCAAACACTTGTAATCAGTCCTTGAACTTTCGCTTAATTCTAAATAAAAACCTTGGTCCTAGAGTCTACCCTTGCAAAATGTTGAATGCTCAGCATTTGCATTTAGCAGGTCCCCAAGTCCTCTCTCTGCTGTGCCCTTCTCCCCACGTGGAGAGGCCATGCGATTAGGTCCTTTCTAAGTTCCCCCATGGATTCTTTTTCTTACCAACACATGCGGTCCACTCAACCACTCTATAGGGTAAATGACCAGTGAAAATTAATGCATCCTCCTACCCAAGGTACATGCAGGGAATGCTTAAGTATGAGTGAAAGGAATTCAGCTTTGATGGTAGAATATCAGGTATCAATTAAGTCCATGGGGATATTACTGTTTTGTTTTGTTTTGTTTTGTTTAGAGTTCATGGGCTCCTTCCTCAATTCCAATTTTATCAATAACCTACTGCACCAACACATAAAATCAGCCTTTCATAGGTGGGGTAAACCTTCTTTTCTTTCATAATCAGAAGCCAAACCAGAACCAGAAGATTTTATCTTTCAGGTTTGTTCTTCAAATATTTAATAACTTCCCCTTCCATGGTCGTCAGATTACTGTGTGTGTAAAGGAGTTTGCTATTGCTGTGATTAACAGGTGAAAACATTTTTTTCTTATGCAGTCATCATGATATAAAGTTATCTTAAAAAGCACTCCTATTTAAGAAATGCCTGCCTAATGTGAACCCTGTACCACATCCTTTTGGTTAACTTGAATTTTTAATGTCTTAGATATGAGTATGCAGCTAAGTAGTATTTAGTTCTGAAGTACATAGTGGTTACTTGGGGTTGTGCAGAGCAGGACTTGTGTGGCCATACATGGAAGTCCTGGAAGTGTTACCAACATGCCAACCAACCACTAGGTACTCAGTGTCACAGAAATGAAATCAAAGGTTACAAGCCGAATAAACAGGCTGAAAGACCAGGTTACATGCATGACAGGAGGAAAACAGATCTCTTGCTGACTGTACGACAGGGCTTAAGGCATTTGATATCAAATGAATCCAAATGTCCTGTGTGGCTATCACGGGAAGAAAAGTAGCTACAAATGTCAAGGTTCCTAAGAGAGAATGCCAGAAGAAGTGAATGGACCAATGACCACTAGATATTCTGAAGTCCTATGTTGGAGGAGGCTGACCAATTTCTACCTCTCCCCCATCTCTATGCTCAGTAATAATCATAACCACCATCATCATAAAGTGCTTTCTATTCGTCAGGAAATAAAAACTTCTCTGGGTGAAATAAAGGTTTTTTTTTTCTTCCTGAAAGTAAAAGCATAGGCACATATTCTTCTGCTCTTTTCACTTCAATTTTCTCAGTGTCAAGATTTTAGCAGTGCTCAGTAGGAAGGTTCTCCCTCCACTATGCAGTCTTGTAATTTACAACTCTGGGTAGGGAGAGAACCAGCCCCCTCAACCTTCTTTACTCACTGTAACACTCTTCTTCTCCACGTTCAGACAAGGGTTGGCAAACTATGGCCAGTGGGCCAAATCTGGGCCACTACCTGTTGTTACATTTTTAAATGGTTGGAAAAATTCAAAAGAATACAACTATTTTGTTGCATATAATAATTATACGAACTTCAAATTTCAGTGTCCCTAGGTGAGTTTTGTTGAAATGCAGCCACGCTCATTCATCTAACCACCACCAATGGTTGCTTCTGCCTTTTGAAAAAATAGGTACCTGAAAATGGATACACAGTTTGTGGGTTCAGTGATCAATACTAAGTAGATAAATTAAGCACCTACTTGGACATGGGGTCACTTGCAGCAGTTGCACAAAATAAAATGTTGAAATGTCACATGAAACATTTAATTTTTCTGTCACCAAAGTTAAGGGAAAATGTACTTATTAAGAATGAATACACACCTGCTTAAAGTAATGAGAACCTGAGCAAGAACCCCTAATTAAACAAGGAAGAGGCATGATGAAAACAGCACCCTGGAAACGTCTGTCTGGCAGTGAGACACAGGCTGGTAGGCTGGTCCAACAAGGGGATGTTTTGACAGCTTCCTACTGACTCAGAAGAATGAATGTACCTGTCCCCAAACTGCTCTGCTCTGTCACAGTTATCTCTTGTGTTTGGAAAGCCTGATTAATAAAGTGTGTTGAAAACAAAAATAAACAACGCATTTGGCTAAGATTGCCCCCAACGGTTTTTTTTTTGTTTTTGTTTATATATATATATTTTTTTTTTTTTGCTAATCTTCTTGGGCATTATCTTTAATGAGTATTAGCTTGGGAATATATTGCAAACAAGTAACTGAGAAGCAGCCTGGCTTCACCAAATTTTAGGGTAAGCAGAAAGATATCTTTAAAGCTCATCCTGTTTGGAGCTCTCACCCGCCCCATAATTCTACACCAGCAGTCAGTGTCTAAGGACAGTAATCCACTTCCACGTCATCTCTTGTACCACTACACACAGGAAGAGACAACCACGTCTATGACAGGTGCCCGTGGGTGCACTCAGGGATCCGTGAAACTCTGAGCGTGCTGGTTGGGACTTTACTCCTTTCTCTCCCATTTCAGACAGATCGCTAGAACCCAAGTAGCACTGACATTATTAAAAATGACATTGTTAGTAATAAATTACTTGCCATGAAACTCGAAGGAGCTGACAATTAGTGTGCTTCACAAAGAATGTGGGAATTGTGGGTTTAGCCTCTGTTTAAACATGGACAATGATGGGGAATTAATTCCCCAGGCCCTTTTTTATTTAAAAAGCTTTGACAGAAAAAAAAAATAAAGTTCTTTCTTATGTCAAGCCTGAATCTATCTCCCCATAGCTTCTACTCATTAATTCTAGTCCACCATTGGGGTTAAACAGAAGGGCCCAGCCCCTCTCCACCCAATGACTAACTAAGGGTATGGAGATAATGACCCTGGACATTCTCCTACTGGCCTTCCCCACAGCCTGCTCTGCAAGCAATCTACTCTTTCTCACTCTCATATGAAATGACATACTTTCCATTCTTTCTTAACATCTGCTTGCCTTAAAACTGGAGGCTGCCCTTTCAGAAAAATTCCGTTCTCATTAAAGTAGGTCTATAGCCATGTTTTCAACTCAAGGACTCCTGGTTTCAACAAAAGCAATTTCTCATGATACTTTCCAGGCTGCAAAAAGATACACTATATTCCCTGATGTGGACTTCTCATATCTATAAATGCCTCCATGTGGCAGGCATCACGCTCGGCAGCAGAAATACAAAGATGATTAACGCACAGTTCCCGCATAGTTCTACATTACTCATGTACACAGAAACGAGGAAATTTCAGGATTTAGCTCAGATGCCCTCTCCTCTAGGAAGCTTCCACTGATCTACCCAGTCTGAGTTAGGTCTCCCATGAAAATACTGCACAGGGCACCAAGCATCATGTCCTATAAGACACTGATTTACGTGCCCATTTCTTCCATCAAAATGGGAAGCTCCTTGAAGGCGGGAACTATGCGTTAATCATCTTTGTATTTCTGCTGCCAAGCGCGATGCCTGCCACATTGAGGCATTTATAGATATTCTGTGTGAATTAATGAGCATAACTATATACAAAAAACACACAGAATCACCACAGCAACTGATGGAAATCTGACAAGAAATCAGAGAGCCCTCAAATTCTAGAACTTCCTCTTGACAAAAAATCTACAGCTTTTCAAAGAAAACATCCATACAATGTCTGTTGCATGGTAAGAAATTTAGTCTATGTTTGATGAAGCCTGTAAGTAACAGATATATATACAAAATAGATTATATTACATATAAAATAGATTTAAAAACAAATTTCTTCTGTACAGCACAGGGAACTATATTCAGTATCTTGTAGCAATGTGTTCTCAGTGTAATGAGAACCTATAATGAAGAAGAATATGAAAAGGAATATATGTATGCATATAAATGATTGAAACACTATGTTGCACATCTGAAATTGACACAACATTGTAAACTGACTATACTTCAACAAAAAATAAAAATAAAAAACAGAAACAGAAAAAAAATTAACAGAAACAATTCCATGCAAGGCACATAAGAGGAGAAATGGCTATAGGCAGGGTTCCTGCAGAGACAACACAACTGCAGGATTCCATCCAATCAGCTCTGGGAGGGGAAGACTCCAAGAGCTAAGACACACACATGGTAATTTTACTGCATTTCAGCAGGAGAGTGGATGGGGTGGCTGATTAGAGACACAATCTCTAAGAATATCCACTTCTCTCTCCCAGTAGTGCTGCTTGATGCAAACCTCTAATTTATCTCATTTTGTTGTCTAATTGCACCTTTGAGAACATAGCTGAACAAAGGTCTCTCTACTCTAAATGCTTGATGATCAGAAAACCGATCATGGCTAGGTGATTCTTCTGCAGGCTTGGGAACACTGAGCTAGTGTTTTTGTGAGTAATAAACATATTAATAGAGAGAACCGATTTGAGATTCTAAATCTAAAGCATGTGCTTTCCAATTACCACAGAAATCTCTACCTTTAATGTGAATTTTAACTTGGGTAGAGAGTACAAATTTGCCACAAAGCCACAGAGAAGACAAAAGATATGTGAAATAAATGGAATAAAACAATTTCCACACTGCACTAAAATCTAAATCTCTTCATTTACTTAGGTATAAATCCAAATGCAAAACCACAGGTGTGTTTTTCACGCAACAAAAGTTCAATTTATTGTAGGAATATCTATATTTTGAAATAAAAACTTCAGAATCTTAATATTTCTGAGAAAAAGGAAAAACAAATCTTATCTAGACTCAGAGGGATGTCTGTGGATCTTTGCCTGAAGTAAAATACTTGTAAGAGCCTCTTTTATCTCAATTACTTTGCAAGATTGGTATGGATTCAAAGATTTAATTAGTTGTTCAGTTACAAACTCTACACTGTTCTCCAAATTTCTTATTCCTTTTAGTCTCATTTAAGAAACAGAAAATTAGTCTGTCTCCGCTTAGACAGTGAGCTACCTAGCTTATTACCCTGTGTCCTGACAGATGCTGAAAGCAGAACTCAAATTCTGATTCCTTAGTTCTAAACTCCTAAATACTAGCCTAATTCATCATTAATGACAAAGCACTGGCCGAGTGGCATGCCATAAATTCCCTCTGGGGTTGGGGTGGGAAGGAGACATCAAAGGGTGAGGGGGACAAAGGAAGACTGGGCATAGAGGCTGGTGCAAATTAACAGACCACAAGGCTGCTCATCCAGAGAAGTGTGGAACTCCAACATTACGAGGAGTGGAAGAGTCAAAGCCATGTCATTCTGAGCAGGTGTGTCAAGTTTTGGAGGACCAGATGCTGCAAAAGAAGGAAGCGGAGAACACTGTTTCCATAACTATAAACAGTGGTGACTACCAGCTTTGGTTGAAGATCAGGTGGTACTTAGAACTGTCCAGAGAGGAGAAAACATGGACCAATATAGACTTCAGTCCAGTGGGGGCAAGTGGATGCCAGGCCTTCGGTATAGGAGGCTGGCTTCTCAGAGTTCTGGGGGACTCAGGACTCTCATGTTAAATTTCCTCTCCAGTGGGTACCTAGCTTATCAGTGAGGTTCATCTCAAAAACTTAGCCAGAAATACCAACTGGGTAAACACTAAACAGTCTCATTTCACAAGACTCCTGCCTCCTGGCAACTCATCTTTCTTTCAGGAACTCACATGTGTCCTGTTCTCCCCTGTCTGTTGTTCCCTTTACCAGAAACACACCAGGCTCTGCTAACTCTTACTCATCCTCCATATCCTCACTTTAATCTTAGAAAAATCCTCCCTGGCCACGCTGTGTGGGCGAGTTTCCTCTGCTCCAAGCTTCTCTAGTGTCATGTTTCATTACCCTAGCCACACTGGCCAGTATGTGTCCCTCCTTGATTATGACTTAATGCAGTCAGGAACCTTATTTACCCTGCTCACTGCTGTATCCTAAATGCCTGCCTCAGAGGAGGTGCAAAATAAGAATGTGATATATTCATCAATGAACTCATCAGAAGAAAACCTGAAAAGGACAAGTCAGAAAGCATCTAGGAATTTTCTTTGCCTTATCATTCATGCAAAGAGCAAAAATAGCAAAACCGAGGCAGCCCACTGGAACTGGAATAGACTGAAAATGTGGTTTCTGGGTATCATAGGCTTTTGACATCCTCTCTGTTCAAGTACAGGGTTTGTATTCCCAGATCCTTGACCCATCCACAACTTAACATCTAAAATCATTCCTTCCAATACACACTCTTATATCATAAGCCATGTAAGTGGCTGTAAGTATGGTGTTTATCTCAAGAAAAATGAGAAAGGACATTTTGTTCCTCACCTCCACTCTCACTTGTTGAGAAACTGCTATTTTTTAAGGAAGAATGTTAAATGATTTTTATTATTTTTAATCCTTCATGCAGTAAGTGGCAGAAGTGGACTTCGGGCCAAGGTTGGACAGGCTCCATGCCGTGTTCTCTCTGTCACACCTGCAGCCACTGCTGGCCCAGTCCTGTCAGGAAAGTCCTTGAAAACCACTAAGTGACTTAAACTCTCCCCAAAACACGTGGTCCATCATTCTCCACCTTCTCCTCTTTTCTTCCCACCTCACCGCAATTCAAACACCAGCTCCACGTCGTCTGAATTTGGAAAAGTGATGATAAAATGCACCAGAAGCACATTAAGACATTTCACCTTCGCGGAGGCTTTGTTCTCAGGTAGTTAAAAAAAAAAACTACAATACTTTACATTTTCTGTTTTAAAATACATGCTAAAAGTAGAGCACTTTACAGAATAACAAAATGTATTCTCAGGCACCAGTGGAGAAGAGTTTCCCCTCTCCTTTCTCCCTTCTCCACTTAGTATGCAGGACAATTTTATGTCAAGGGAACTTTAAGCGATGAAGACTCACCCTCTCCATCTCTTTGAAGTCATCATCTAGCTTGGTTCCTTCAGCTCCTCCAACCTTCTCACTCACTTTCTGTAGAAAGTAACAACAAAAAAAGAAATTATTATAAATAAATTTTGTTTTAAAAATATGTGTCACAAGTTTTAAGCACTTTGACAAACATCTAATATAATCTCACGACTATTTTCTGACATAGGTAGGCAGTCCCATTTTCATAGGAGGAGGTTGTGACTCAGAGGGTATAAACAACTTAACAAAAACCATGCACCTGGTAAGTAATGAAACAAAAATTCACACTTGTATCTTCTGATTTCAACCCTAGTACTCTTTCTATTACATAAATCATTACATAACTATCAAATCACTAATGTCCTCCTTTTGAAAGTTCCATGGGACAACAGCATCATACAATAATCATTTCCCTTTGACAATGGATCTAAAAAGCTACCTAGGTAGAAAATTGCTACATCTTCAATTTATTCCTCAATGGGCTATTGAACAGATAATCACAAGCATCTATCAAACTGGTAACAAAAAAATCAGCCCAAGTGATCTTCAGATAAAAGAACTTAAATAGTAGTCTCATAAAACTCCCTGTAGCTGCCAACATCCTTATATACATGAGATAAACTATGTGGAAAGATGTCAAGGATATTTCTTTGCTACCCCATTAATTATTATTATAATACAATTTATATTAATCAATTTACATATGCAAATGGTCATTTTTCACACATAGAATTCATGTCTATAAAAAATTAGATATGCTATTCTGTTTTGAAATGAAGGCTCAAATTAAGTCTAATAAAATTTTATGAAGGGATCACAAGAAAAATACTCTGGCTTCATCAAAGACAAGAATATTAAATGCTACTGACACCAGAATTTCACTCCCCTTAAAATAATTGTAACAGTAGTTAGATGCTTTTCAGTAAGACGTCACTGTGCCACATACAGTAATCACACACAGATATCAAAGTATAATTTTCATTTCCTATAATAGCCACCAGGTTGAGGGCTTTTGCAGAGAATCCCCACCATGGTCAGACCTCTAGCAACCTCAGGAACAAACTGGATCATCCTAGTGAACTTGGTTCACCTTCTTCTAAAAAGGGCCCTGGGATATATGTCTCCATCTTCTGGCCAGGGAAACTCAGTTATCCCCTTGTTGAGGGCTGAGGTATATCCCTTACTCTGTCTTTCTGTCTTTCATTCCTGCTTTCTGCCACCAGGAAAACCAGAGATCACTCTTGAAAAAGTCAAGAGTCTTAGTTCTATCACCATTCTGGCCCAGATGTCATTCCTTTCAGCCTGGCAGCAGTAATCAAAGGAATATGTTATGATGGAAAGGCATGGTATGCACTGACCCCTCTGCTCTCTGCTGGGTACACAGAGTTGTTATGAAAATAAAATGGCATACTAATTATAAGAACCTCTGTTTGAACCTAAGAGACATGCAGTATATCCTAGTTCCCTTCTCTTACCAACAAATCGTATATCTGCTTACAGTAATCTGGTCTTCCCACCAGTTTATTTAACTGTTGTTTCCACACCTTGAGAAGAATCTAGCATACTTTCACTTACAGCTTATCATCTAGTATGTGTACCACAAGAATTATGTAGAGCAGATTTCATTCCTATGTTGCAGATGAGATAACTGAGGCTTTGCATAAATTAAACTGCTGTCCATGGTAGGGATCTGTAGCTAGGGAGAGGTGGAACCAGGATCTGGAAGGCACTTTTCCCAAGCTAAACCACAGATGACTTCGCATTCCTGCCACAGCACTGAAGAGCTGTCCATGGTGCTGGCCATCTCTGCCTAAAGTTCCTTTAGATTCTAACGGCCAGAGTTAGAGCCACTGCTTTAACCTCTCTGGCCCTTGACAGATTCACTGCTTTAACCCTTGGTCCTTGACATCAGCCCTCTCACTTAACCTGTGTCCTAGGTGATGTTGGCTATCAACTATTTCAACAGTCTGCACAGAGCCAGACTTTGTCCAGCATCACTATCACCTGTTACATTGGGGTTTAGAAACCCTAATCTTGTTAACTCCTACACAATAAATGTACGCTAAACAACCCCAGGTCAACTGTCTCTCAGTTCTAGCTGAACGTCTTCGATGTCAGGGAACTTACTATATCTCAAGCCTCTATTTTGGTCAAAGAGGATCATTACAGATATACCCTCCCATGAACTATGAATGAGATAATTAAATTTCATTTTCAAAATTGTCATAAAAGCCAAGTAGCTGAGCAATGCCTCCATTTATACTAACATCATAGAATCCCGGTAACCTTGGGTAATCACATTTTGACCATCTCTAAGGAATAAAATATGACTTTCATCAAAAGCACAAGGGCTTAAATTATACTTTAAATCCCATATTGCTCAACTGAAAGTAACTTTAATTTCCCCTCTTTTTGCATCCATCAACAGGTTAGTAACACAGTTGCTTGCTCACTATATCAAATGGGACATCAAATGGGATCACACTGACCATTAGTAATTTAGAACTAGTCATGGTTACTCTCACAGAGGCCAGCTCATCAGTTTATTGACTTTAACTATCTGGCTTAAGTACTGGGTGTGTGTGTGTGTGTCTGTGTGTGTGTGTGCGTGTGTGTGTGTGTGTGTGAAAGAAAGCTAGAGAAAGAGAGAGGGTAGGGGAGTGGAGAGGAGAGAGGGAGAAAGGGAAGGAGGGAGGGAAGGAGAATGAATCTATTCTCTACAAAAGCTGACATTTGAGCTGCTCTGAGAGGAACAGTTCACCAAATACACTGAATGAGGCTAATAGTTAGATACTGGCCCTGGCCTGATTGTTTGGTTGATATAAAATTTTCTTATCTTATTAGATTTGTGGGGGAAAAGTATTCAAAATGACATCAAAATGACATTGACCTCTGGGCTATTTTTTCCCAAGTCACAAAGGATCTAAATATATCAAGGCATTGCATTAAACAATGTGCTAAATAACAACCTTCTCATTCCTTAGGAGTATGCCAAATATTTTCTCCTCCTGTTCTTCAAATAACATTACTAAAACTTCTATTGCTTCTATGTATAAGAGTCAAGGTGAAGAAGAAAGGCTTCCTGAGCTCATCTGGCCAACAGTGAGCTCTGTTTTCCTTACCTAGTACTATTTATTTAAGAATAGTTTTGTCCTACTATTTTCCAGTGAAGTGATTCCTATAACCAAGATTTCACATTGAACGTTCTCTGATGCTGTTTAGTATACTTTCACTAATATTCTTGCTTTTTGAGAAATTGATCCCCTACTTAAATAAACATCAGCGAAAGTTATTTGCATCAAACAAAACAGCATAAATAAGTCACTATGTTCTCCTGTATCACCTAGAAATAACTTCTCTGTTCAAAACCCTCAGTTGTACCCTCTTAGCTCAACATTGAGAGCTTATGCTTCGAATCTTATTTTCTATTACACTTTCCACGTACTCTATATTCCAACCAACAAAAATCTCACCTTCCTCTGTTGTATTCTTCATTGTATTCCTCACAACAGATACTCAGTAAAGATTTGTGGAACTGAACTACAGAGTAATTTTGTAAATATTAATGTTAAGAAGACTGATAGGAGGCATAAGTAAGGCAAACGAGACTGATTACCTCACTTAGGGATGGTTTTTCAAAAGGCATAACGTTTCCAAAAAAGAAAATGAAAACTCAGGCTTTAAATTAAAAATCTTAATTCTGAGTCTGCAGTAGTGTCTCATGCTGACTATTTTTCTCTATATGCCAAATAAGAAAAACGTCAAGAGAACCAGCAGCAGGAGACAGCTTAAATAAATGACCAATGTTCCCAATCCAAAGGATGCTGCATGCTTTCCAACAATGACTCATCCTCCCCCGCATTAACTGTCACCTTCAGGCAAAAGACACTCCATCCTCTAGTTGCAGCTCTTGTTCTTCCCTGCATTGCATTTCAACTAAACACTAAAGATCCAGCTACATATCTCAAACTGCCTTTTATACAGATCTCCTTGAAAATCATATCATCAGTGAAATTCAATAGACTTAAGACCAAATTCATTCACATCCTACACACGTGCAAAGTGATTAACCACCTAATGTCCTTGTTTTCCTTCCGTTTCATATCATTCATTATACAAAGCCAGGTTTCCTTACCATCCACCAAATTAGTCTGTTAATTTCTTCTGCCTTGTACCTGGACCTATTTCTTTTCTCTATTTTTCAAACCCTACCAATTATCTAAGATGCTCACCCAGATTTCACGTTCTCCATCTTCATCTTGATTGCTCACCCCAGCTGGAAGTTACTAGATTTCCTCTGCACTCTCTTAATGAAACACATCATTTGCTGGACTCCCTGAAACTAGCCACTTGATGAGTAAAATTGCTGAGACCTTTTGCTCATCTGAATTGTAAGATACAAAAACTATGAATCATGTCACGTGCTTTTTTTTGTCTGACAGCATCTGAGACTGCAGTACCTAACACAGTGCTTGAAGAGTAGACAGTTATCAGTTGAAAAAAAGTACCTCAATGAATTACTCTAAGACCAAAAGAAATTAAAGGAAGACCCTTAACTATGAGTTAGCATTGGTTCTGTATCTCCTTTCTGAGTTTAATTTCCCTGGTAAAGTCTCCTATCTTTTTCTCTGTCAACAACAGGCAAAAACTTAGAAAATTCAAAATACTGTTTTCCCAGTATTTGTAGAAAGGCACCAACCTGTGATAACAAAGAAGCCATATTCTGACTCTTCATAAAAGCTCCTTAATTATTATTAATTTTTAAGGTACTAAAAAATTGAAATGATAATACTTGACAACATATCCAATATTCAGAAGAAAACAGGAAAGTCAAAATTAGAGCAGTATTTTCTTGGTATTTGGCTAAATACAAGTAATCTTCTTTTTCCAGATGGTAGTTATTCCCATGTATGAAAGGCAGGGTGGATTCACTTTATGGGATGTAAGTTTCACACTAGTTTTTCTCAGCTGACATTAAATTGGATTGCTTAAATGCCATGAAGTTTTGAAAGTGAATTTCAAAAAATACAGATTCATTTTTCCTATCCAGAAATTTCAGATTT